GCAGCAGCAGCAGCAGCAACAAAACAACAACATCAACCATAGCAACAAGAATCCTCTTACACATCATAAGACATATCAGACTCGAAATGAAGCAATGCACAAGTATCTATGTGCGTATTCACACTAAATAAAAAAAACTTAAAGCAATTTGTCGAGCAAAGTAGGCCACTCTCAAACTGCAGAATTTCAGAGCTTTGGTTGGTCGACGCCCGTGATTTAATTATAATTTCTCTTTTTGTGCTATTTGATGGTTGAAGCCCATGAGTATTTCTCTTTTGTTATATTTGGATCTGGCTGGTCGTACGTAGCCCATGACTTAATTATTTCAGTCAAAAGTGTTGTCACTTCTAAAGCTTGGGAGTCTTTGGAAACTACAATGTTACAATTTTTGTGCCTTTTATCAACGTTTTCAGTAAATTCCACAAAGAAATGTCTTTTTTAATGGAATTTAGAGGTGCTGAGCAACAACAACAAAAAAAAAAAATTAGAAAAAAGACAAGAAGAGAAAAAAAGAAGAATAACATTTTGGGGTGGGGGAGATGGAAATGGGCTGTAAAACAAAAGAAAACAAAACAAACGTTTTCTTTGATTTCATTATTATTGACGAGCGCTTGATTTCACCGTGATGCCATACATTAAATTTGTATCATTAATTATGTTTTCTTCCCAGGTCAAAGGACACGCGGGGTTGTGTAGCGGTGGTCTCCACTCTGAGTGAGGCTATAGACAGGTTCATGAGCGGACCGGGCAGCGAGGAGATTGAGAACATCTACGTTTTGGGAGGAACCTTGCCCTACCAGGTACATGTACACACAAACAGCTTCGAGACCCAGCTCGGTCCGAGGTTGTGGAAAGGCACTTCACACGAAATTCCCATTTGGCTTGGTCCTTTCAGAGACGGACGTTAGAATGGGAGGTCCTGCCTCTTAAATTAATAACTTAATAGTGTTAATAGAGGTGTTAAACTTATGCCATTTTACTATTTCACACAGCCAGCGTCTGTGGTGTAGTTTTAGGGTGATTGGTTTTGCGTGCAAAAGGTTTGAGTTCAATCCTCGCGTTGGGGGTTCTTGATCACGAATTCATAGGTCTTTTTAATTTAAACCAGAGATATCGGTCTTTCTACTGGAATGTTATATCCCTCTTAGCTCCTCGGATTGGTCTATACAGAGAGCTCAAGAAACCTGACTCCTAAATTTACTGCTTAATTGAAAACACCGTTATAAGTAACTCTTCAAAACAGTGTACTGCGCAGTTTTTCACAAAGCAGTAGGCATGATCTAAATTGTGTCGATAGAGGTGTAAACACACCAATTCATTAAACATTTTTTAAAGGGTACACACTGGGCTGAGGGCGATTTTTTTCTAATTGGTTGATTGTGAGTGGTTGGAGGGTGCATCTCGTGGTAGGTTGGCAATCTAGTGATTAGGCTACTGAGCTCTTAATCGTTTGGTCGTGGATTCTGAGTTTAAAACTGGGCTTGGCCCGACGTTGAAAATGATGAAATTGTATTGGCTCAACGCCCCCTATCAACACTATTAGTTTATCCAAGAGGCGAGACCTCTGAGTTTAACGTCCATTTCCGAAAGGACTGAGCCAAATACGAAAATTCATGTAAAGTGCCTTGCCCAAGGACACAACGTCATAAAGAGCTGAGGCTCTAAACCCCGAATCCGCAATCTCACGATTACAAGTCGTGTAGCCTAACCACAATGCTAGCGACGCCACTGGTCCACCTTTATGGTTTTGAGAAGGCATCTTACACAAATTTATGAATGGGAGGACGTTCATGTTGACGAACGATGTCCCAATGTTAGCCCCTTGCACTGAACAATAATTCTTTAAAAATTCGAGAGCGTTTCTGATCGCTATCTGGTCTGCTGGGTTAATAATATACAATGTACTAATAGTGTAGATATATTGCAAAGCGCACTGAGCTTGTAGCTAAGCGAGAATTTGCGCCATACACGCCTAATCTTTGCACTTAATGATAATGAAATATGACCTACTTATATTATTGCAAGTGCGGTAAAACTCTTACTAGATCTAGAACTAAATGTGTTAAATCAATGTTGGTTGATGTTCTTTGTTTCACTCAAACTCAAACTGGACTCAAACTGATATCATGGCTAACGTTACCCTCCTACCCCCTCCCCCAATTCACACACAC